TCAGGTGAATTTAAACCACTCGTGAAAACGAGTGTTAGAAGTTTGTAACTTCATAAGAACTTCGTCAACTCTCATTCGAATAATCTGTATGTATGTATGTGTGTTTTAGCGTAGTTTTGATGTATTCTAGAGTAGCCAATAAAATTCATGTTTCATTTATAAAGAATATTTGGTTTGGTGTCATAATTTCCAGGTCAAAACTTTGCCAAGATCAACGTTACCTCTCTAAGAGCTTACAAATTATCAAAGAACGTATTTATCCGTGGCCAGGAGAATACATAGTCAATTTGTTAAAATATACTGAGGTCACGGCTCGCTGGACGACTCTTGATTTAAAGTGTAACATAACAAATTTGAAATCGGTTTAATCAGGTGAACTTCGGATTTTCAGATCCGAGTCCTATCAAAACCTGAATGAATTAATAATAATTAATTCCCTTACAAATTTAAGTAATCAAGTCATTACATAATGAACAAAATAACCATTATAAAAGAATAAGCATAAAGTATAAGTGACTTGTGTAATAGGAAATAAAGACAAAAGCAAACAATTCGGTCAAATGTATGCAACAAAGTCAGCGTTGTATTACGATTAATAAATAAATAATTTATTAAACATAACTTTGTGCTCAGCCAAAACGATATGACCTGGAAGAAATAATAGATTCATGAGACCAAAGATTGCCTGTTAGATTTACCCAAAACGAATTTTACCTCATTTTTAACCACTAGAGAGACATCAGAGCCAGCGGTAAATGTCAGAAGGACTAGCCGAGGTGAGACTGCTCTCGGCGGATACATGAGCACTGAGCTCCCGGTGATCGCATGGAGCTACGTCTTCGTAATCGGCGAAGCAAATGTTCATATAGGTGCTATGTTTGTGGATAATAGCTACTTTGAACAAAACCCACTTTTATCTTATTGACAAAGTACGTGAATTAATGGTCATGATACAGGAATACTTCAATACCTTGAAAAATATCAACATTAAACTGACTTCAGTGTTGTGATGTATTTCCAAGTGAAATTGAATATTGAATAAAAGGCGGGGTTGTATTGTGGTGCACCTCCTCTCCACCTCTTGCTCACAGCAGATTCACGGTTGAATAGGAGTGGTTTAGAATATCTGCATGTTACGTCTGACATCATGCTTCACCGCTTCTGGGTCCTAACGCTCTGCCAAACACCCCCCAAAAAACAACAAACTGTGCATATACACACACACGATGTCATGTAATATTGAAAAATTATAATCCTAACCTTTATCTCCATACTGAAATCCAGTGATTCAGTGATACTGAAGACAGTGATTCAGCTAAAATATTAGTGTCTGAGACACTGTGAGCATGGAGACTGTAGTGTGCACAAAATTTTTTTAAGTGCTTAGCTTAAATGTGTAATATTAATTAAATAGTGCTCATAAATGGCTGTTGAGATGCACTAAAAAAGTAAGTAGGGTCATTTTTGATTTCATGATGAATCATTTTCAATACCATTGGCAAAGCTACAACATACTGTATACTGCCATATAGATATTTTAATAATTAAAATTTTTTTTTGTCCATCCATTTTTTTCAAGGCACTCATTATTTCAAGCTTTGAGTGGTTTAATCCAAGTCTTCTAAAAAGACATGTTCACTTTATATGATGAACAGATTTTAATATAGGCTTTTATGTACATGCATATAAACATTGATCAATTACCATTACAAAAATCTCAATCTTAAACATTTGCTCATTCTGTGTATTTGTATCTTTAAATAGGGTAACTTTATTGCAAATGCTTACAGCACAAGGAAGCTTGTTTTCAAATTTGATTTCAAACTTAAAGGTACAATAGGAGATCTTGGAAAATGCTAACTTTAGCCTGATAGCACTGAAAGCGAA